GCTATCTATACCTTCTTTGCAGAGTTGCTGGAGACAACTATATAAGCAGACTATTTCTGTACACCACAAATTCAAGCATCAAATGGGCCATCCCTGTTAGTGCCTGTAGGTTTCACCACAGTAGCTGTTGCAGCGTCTTCCCTTTCCCCATAAGCCTCCAGAACCTGCCTGGATCTCCCTCTTAGCAGATGCCTTCACACCTACATGATAGACCAGAATGACCATACCCACTGCAAACTTTCTCAACTTTTCCCCCTTCCAATTCAAATTTCCCCTAACTTTTAGCTCTGGTCACAGAGAAGTAAATATGCATCTTTTAAATAATAATAAATCATTTTGTTTTTAATTTTAAAAAATGACTAAGGAACTGAAGCTAAAACTAATCATACCAATGATACATGAATCATTTCTCCAAGTATGTACTAGCTTTCTCTTTGTTTGGGAAGGACCATTATTTACATCTATATAACAGAGGGGTATGGCCAGATTGCTGGGGAGCAAGGGAACCCTGATCAAGTGCAAGAAGCTGCACTTTCCTAGAGAAGGGACGGATTACAAGAAACCCCAAGGTGGCAGGTTGAAGCAGCAGCCCTCCATGAAAGAGCCTGCCTTCCCCAGAGATGGTAGAGACCCCCAAGAGGGGTTGAGAAGTGCTAAAAGCAGCCCAGGATTTAAACCAAAGCTGGGGCTTGATAGGTTTCCATGTTTCAGAGGAAAAGTAAACAACTAAGCTCAAGACACAGTTCTGCACAGAGCCTGCATGGGGCTCAAAAGTTCACAACATATGTGTAACAAGGTGACACCCTGCCCAGGGCAGAGATGCTGTGCCCCTGCATGGCTAGAAAACCTTAATAACTGTTTCCTTATCATGGCTGTGGGAGGAGAGGCAGGGACACAGTGTGGGCTGACATGTGTGGTGGACATTAGCTAGAATTGGCTGGGACTTTGGACACTCCCACAGTTCATAGGATTTTGGGGCAGATTTAAAATAGAGGGTATGCAGAAACTCACACTCTTTCCTTTTCCTTGAAAGCCCAGTTAGGGGTTAGAGGCCAGAGCATTCTTGCAGGCCCAGTTAGGGGTTAGATGAAGACCACCTGGCTATGCTACAGCACTGGTGATTTGCATGGCCCTGCCTGGCCAGGTGCACACAGACTTGAGTGAGATGCCTGAAGCTGGACTGTGACCAAGAACCCACCAAGCTGCCTCGATAATCATGCTGCAGCCACCTGCATATCACAAAGAATGGTATTTTAAAAGGGAAGAAAGGTTTCCAGGTGCATCCTTGAACTGAGATGGCAAGGGGTGGAAGGGTTATTGGCCCTTGGGTATTTTAATGGGAATGGGCTTTGAGGCAGAAGCCCATTATTCTTCCAAAATTGTATAGCTTTTAAATAAAGACCTCCTTTCCTTTTACACCAAACCTCTGCCTCTGGGGTTTAGGGGTGGTGGGCAGCAGAACACTATGTGGCTATATAGTAACAATTATCTTTCTTTTCCAATTTTAGGAAATAAATTAAAATGTTAACTATTACAATACCTAAATAGTGACACTAGTAATTTAGTTTTTATACTGACAGTTGGAGGACAAATAATTCAACATTATCACCAAGACCTTTTAACTTATAGCTATCTCCTTTAGAGAAGCATTTTTCCTTTTATATTTAAGTACTAGCTTCGTGTCTTTGAATATCACTGAGCAATAGTGATTGATGTGATTTACTGATAAATTGATTACAAGATGCATTTTTGCAATACCTCCTTTACACTTGGCAAGTTCACAGAATGAAGAAAACAACTCTGGAGTATTTCGATCAGTCCTGTCCATCTTAACTGAAACTGTCCATTTGACCTGGGGATCTCAATTCCTAAACCAGCATTTCTCTCCAGACTTCACTTCTGAGCTTCAGAATGATGTTTCCAAATGAACATCCTAGAGGCACCTCAATCTCAATGGGCCCAAGACAGGAATCATCTTCATCCTTAAACATGCTTTTCAGGCTGCCACCGTGCTTCTTTTACAGGCCTCACCAACCTGGGAGCAAATCTTACCTTTCAGGCATATCCCTTCTCCAACCCTAAACTCATCCCATGTAATCCATCCATTCTACCCATTCCATGTCCCTCCTTTTTCATTCCTCTTGCTCCAATTCAAGACTTTACAGCTGTAACCATAGCCTTAGAAACACCAGCTTCAACTCCAGGCTGTCCTCAATCTGTGAGATTGTTTCCTGTACTCTTGGGAGTAATCTTGCTAAAACATTGTCATCACATTATGCCTCTGCTCCAAAATTGTTTAATGCTTACTATTACTTATGGAATAATGCCTGAACTTCATGCTTTTAATGAAAACCATGATATACCTACCTCCTAACTCCCTTCTAGTCTTACCTCCATTCTATCCCTCTAGAAGCCATCTCTGCTGGTTGCCTATGCCTGGATGAAGTCCTACCTTCTTCTACCTTTCTGCCCTTGGCCTTGAATACTCTTTTCTGATGTATCTCTCTTCCTAAGTCCACAGTGTTGTTCAGTGGCAATATGAATAAGCCACATGTTACTTGAGCTGGGCCTGTTCATGATCCCATGTGTAGGTGCATCTTCATAATCACTACATTTTATTAAGGAGGAGGTAGAGGCTTAGAGCGACCTACTGTAGTGCTTTTAAAATATGTCTGTACATGCTTTGATACTCCTCCCTACAAAAGGTGGAGCCTAATTCCTTTCCAGTTGAATGTGATACTTGAGCTGTACTTAGGAACTCACTTCTAATAGAATGTGGTAGAAGTGGCGTCCAAGACTGGGTTATAAAGGGCATCACAGCTGCCTTCTTGTCTCCCATTCTGAAGGATGCCAATCACCCTACTGTGAGGATACTCAAGTAGCCCATGGAAAAGCCTATGAGGAGAAAGCCTGAGGCCTTCAGCCAATAACCATCATCATGTGTGTGAGCCATCTTAAAAGCAGCTCTTCTAGACTCAACCAAGCCTCCTAATGCCTGCAGCCCCTGTGACATCTTAACTGTAACCTATGATAGACCCTGGAACAGAGCCACCCAGCTAAGCTGCTCCCAAATTCCTGACCCACAGAATATAATAATAGATATTTACTGTTTAAGCCACTAAGTTTGGGGGTAATTTGTTATACACTAATAGATAGCTAAAACACTTACCCAGAGTCATGAGACTAGTAAGCAGCAGAGACTTAAACATTAAAGCTCCTGCTCTTAACCCCAACCTAATACTGCCAGAAGTGCTATTTATATTTTGTTTACATAACCACCCAGCCTTTAAAAAACCTTGACAGAATTTCTCCATCAAAATTCACCTTCTTCCCATCTTGACATTTAAGCCCTCCTTAAAATGCCCATTCAGCATGTTCCTGCCCCAACAATTTCCTTATTTGCCTAAGTTCCCTCTCTCCACTTTCAACTTCCCATCTCTAGGCTCTCAGCTTTAGCACCTACATCCTAGTGCTGTGAAAATTAAATGAGAGAATATGCATAAAAAGGGCTTAGCAAAGTAATAGTTCAATTATATTATTTATTTAGACACAGCACTTCCTCTGCTATGTGGACAAGGTCTCAACTCTGACTGTATTGTATATCAGAATCACATAGAAAAATACTTAAAGAAAAACAACAACAACAAAAAAACAATGCCTGGGCTACACCCTGAATTAATAGGTCTGATTTAGTATGTCTTGGGTGAAACCAGGCAACAAAAGCTCTCCAGATGATTTTAAACTGTTGGATTAGATCAGAGGCAATTTTACTTTCCCCTCCCATTGCCCCCAGCCACATCTCCCAACATTGGCCAGTGTCTGGAGACATTCTTGATGGTGAAGACAGCTAGGGTGCTCCTGGCACATAGTGAATGGAGGCTATAGATGCTGTGAAACATCCTACAGTACACAGGACTATCTTCATAACAGAGAATTGCCTAGTGCTAAATGTCAATAGTGCTGAGGTTTGAAAAACCTGAATTAGCTACTGTTTTCTGGCTGCTGCCCTCATTCCCCTTAAGAACATTGTATCCTACTTGCCTCTTGGACTCTTCCTGTCAAGGGCACCCTCAAGAAGAATGTAGCACCTGACTTTTTGCCTTTCAAGACCAAATCTGGGCACCAACCAGCTTGGCTACTGCCCCACATGAGCTGGTTCTGGACCTGCCAGGAGGGTCTGGGTGTGGCCTTGTGCTTCTCTTTCCCTGTAGTGCTTTGCCAGTATCTGAATGACAATACTCACTATGAAAACTACTGCTAGTTATAAACACCTCTCTCTCATCCCAGAGGCTGGAGCCATATTTTATTCATCCTGCTTTCTCCACAGTACCAAGGACTATGCCTTGCACTTGGTAGCTGTTCAATAGCTATTTATTGCATTGATTTAAATTAGTATCATTTTAATTTTTATGATGCCAAGAATGGTAATACAGGTGCTTAATAAATGTAAGTTGCCATCATCATCATCTTTGCTATATCACTGATGAAAAGTAGCTCACATAAAATAATATTACTAATTTTATATGATATAACTTAATTGTATATGCCTAAATAACAAATTTTAAGATTCTGGAAGGATGTACTATAGTTCAAACTGATTACTTCTATGAGAAGACTCAGATTAGAATGGGTCAATTTATCTGTCAAGTTTAAAGATTTTAAATGTAGAACTAAAGCATATAACTAAAAATTAATAGAAAAGTTTATTCATATTTCCTGAGGCATTATAACCTTTGGGGTGGGGGTTGGGAATGAATGAGAAGGGAGTAAGAGGGAGGGTATAAGAATTGTTTAAAGTTTCCTATTTTACTTCTGAAGTGTTTCTTGGATAGATGCCCTTAGCCTAGAGTAAAAATAACAAGAGACAAGGGCCACAGACATGACTGACCTGGGGGCATGGATGGATTACATGAGTTAGTTCTCTTAGACTGGAGAAAACTATCATTAACACAATTTTAAAATTAGGAATAAATGATCCAAAGCCTTATGTCAGCACTTACTGTTGCTTCAGCCACTGCTCCACAAATGGAATGGAGAAGAATTCTGTGAACAGCTTCCCTGTCCTCTTTGGATTTTGACTGGTCATGATGCCATATGTTTGATTGACAAGAAAACAATAACCAAGAATTCAAGTCAATTGTTGCTATTGTGCTTGCAGATTAACACTATTGAATCTTTAGGGTCATTGAATATTCATGAAACTTACTTGTATAACCACTCAGTCAGAAAATCACAAGCAATGAATTTGGTTCTTTTCCTCTAAAAAGAGAAGAAAGAATTAAATTATATTTTTGTCACATGTTTGAGCAAGACAAAAGAAGAGCAGCTGATGGCTTATATTAGATGAAGTATGCATGGATACTCTATGAGGACTATAAGCACATCAACAAACATTAAGTCAGGTGGCATAAAGAGTTCTGAAGATATTTATTCAGTCATTTTTGGATAAGCATGTTTTCTGACAGCAGAGACTATTAAAGGATAGTGTCCTTAGTAGGGAGCTTATTATATGCTTTTAGAATTTTCTTATAAGGATTTTATTTAAATCTAATTTATTGCTTAGCCCCAGTCCACTAAAATCCTCAGAACAGCATTACTTCAGGTCTGGGTGCCACTTTCAAATGTGGTAGCCAGGCACACAGGTGCCATTAGTCAGTGCAGTTGACCCTGACAGTTGTCTACCCAATAGCCACTCTCTACTTCATTTTTAATTGCTGTTAGAGAGAGAGGAAGAGAGAGATAGATACATCAATTGGTTGCCTCCCATATGCACCTGGACAACGGATCAAACCCACAAGCTAGGTATGTGCCCTGACCAGGAATAAAACCTGTAACCTTTCAGTTATGGGATAGCACTCCAACCAACTGAGCCACACCAGCCAGGGTTTTACTTCATCTTTATTAATTCTTTATTAATAGTAACCTGATTGACAATCAGTTCAAGTGAAGAACTACATTTCCCTGCCTCCTCTGGGAAAGGACAGCCAAATGACACGGTTCCACTTTATGACATAGAAATGGATATCCTTTGAATTTCTGAGAAACTTCTGCTCTTTCACTTCAGTCTGGAACACAGATGTAAGGCGGGAAGTGGAGCATCACCTTTCAGCCATGAGTCCAAAAGCCACATGCTAAAGATGGTGGAGCAGTTTGTTAGAAGTAGCCTGGGCCTTTGATGACTTCCTTAAGTCATGATACCAGCTTGGGCCTGACCTACTCTGGACATCTTGATATGCAAGGAAAAAATAAACTTCACTTGGATTACTACTACTGTTCTTAAGTTCTCATAACATGCAATTGAATGCAGTTCCTAGGTGACATATAGCTAGTAACCTACAGGGGAACACTATGAGGGAGTAGTCGGGGAGAAGGTATGCTGAGAAGGGCATTGGGGTGGAGCACCAGATATCCTGCCTCCTAGGATATTTAAAGTCTCTTATAACTCAGACAGAGTCAGTTAATTCCTTATAGAGAATTGTTATTTAAACTGGGAGACAGAGGGACCCCACCTCTCCTTCTAAGATGGCAGGGTCTAAGAACAAAGTAAATCTAGAAGTTGCCACATGTACAGATCCTTCCCAAGAATGAAGGCATTACAGAGACTGATGAAAAATCTTTCTTTGCTCCTCCAGGTATACCCTTCTCCACCCTGCTGCATGCATCAGGAGGCTCATTTTATGGTTCACATAACTAGGTTCCTTTAGTCTCTAGCTGGGTCCTGCCAATGGGAGGTATCAACAGGAGACCTGAGAAAGAGGAGAGAAAAAGGCAGGGTGTTATGGTTTGAATTGTGCCCCCACCTGTCCAATTCATATATTAAAGCCCTAGCCTTTGGTAATGTAGAATGTGATGTATTTAGAAATAGGATAATTACAAATATAATTAGTACAGCCCAGCCACTCCTGAAAGATATAGCAATTCCAAGGAGAGTGAACTAATTTGGTGTTATATTAGAAAGAAAGAAGGGAGGTGCTATTGGGTAGACACCCCAATGTTAGATTACTAGTGACACTGTACTAGACCCTGGATCCCACTATGCCTGAAGTCAAAATCCCCGGGGCCTTTCAGGTACATGAGCCAATGATTCATTCACTTTTTTTTTTTTTGTGAAGCCAGTTTGCATTGAGGTTTTTACTGCTTGCAATGAAGAGTTTTAACTACTACTCCTTTCTTCTCCAATTCGCTAACTCCCATTTGTTCTTTAAGATGTCCCCAAGAAGGCTTTCTGAGCATTCTCACCCTCTTCAAATTAGTGTAGGCTCCCCTCACCCCCAGTTCTCTGTGTGCTCCTATCATAACACCTCAGATATAACTCCCAGACTATGTACCTATCTCTCCTACTGAACTATAAATTCTCTGAAGAGGGCATATGTCTTCCTTTTCTTCACATTCCCAGTGCTTAATTGAGTGCCTTACACACAGTAGATGATCAGTAAGTGGTGAGTAAATGAATTAATGAATTTACCATTCAACTCTCAAGCATCAAAGTAAAAAAAATTCAGGTACAAGAATTCTGACATTTATAACTATGAATTGCTGTATAATTGGGGACAATTACTCCTTGCTTTCTTTCCATATTTTATTATAAACATTTTCCTTTTTATCCCTTCACTTTGAAATTGCCAACTGAGTTTTAAAATCTTAAATAAGATTGTACAGATTGTTGTGGAATTTATTCTCACCAAATGAAAAGATTTTCAGCTGAAAGCTTTATTCTACTTGTTAGTAAATAAAATATAGTGGAGGCTGAGTTGCAGGAGATTGTTTGCAGTCTTTTACCTCATTGCTGATAGTCTTTAATTTAAAAAAAATTAAAAGTGCTGGCCAGGGAACTAAACTTAAAATGTTCTAGACCATGTAATGGGGTTTCAAAGTTTGCACTGCAAGATTAGAATTCCCTTCAAAAAGTCACCTTTAACCAAAATAAGAAAATGCTTCTACAACAATGCAGAAATATCCAGCCAAGATGGAGGCATAGGTAGATACACTTTGCCTCCTCACACAACCAAAAGAAGGACAACAATATATCTAAAAATAAAAAATAACCAGGACTGCCAGAATATTGAATTGTATGGAAGTCCAACAACTGAGGAGTTAAAGAAGAAACATTCATCCAGACTGGTAGGAGGGGCAGAGATGAGCAGCCAGGGTACAGAGGAATTATGGCAAGGCAGCAGGTAGAGAAGCAGGTGGTCCTACATTTGTGGGTGGATAAACTTGGAGGAACAACTGGGGAGCAAAGCAGACCATGCAACCAGGGTTCCCACACAGGGAAATAAAGTCTTAAACCTCTGACTGAAACACCTGTGGGGGTTGAGGTGGCGGGAGAAACTCCCAGCCTCACCAAGAGAGTTCACTGGAGAGACCCACAGAGTCCTACAATGTACACAAAACCACCTATCTGAGAATTGGCACCAGAAGGGTCCAATTTGCTTGTGGGTGGCAGAGGAAGTGACTGAAAACCATCAGAGTGCCGAGCAAGCAGCATTGTTCCCTTTCTGACGCCTTCCACATATACAGTGCCACAACACAGCAATGTGAGTTTCCCCACCCTGGTAAATACCTAAGGTACTGCCCCTTACTATGTAACAGGCCTGTCCAGAAAAAAAACATGGCCCAAAAAAATGAACAATTTGATAAATACAACTAAATGATGAAGATAGCCAACATATCAGATGCAGAGTTCAAAACACTGGTAATCAGGATGTTCACAGAAATGGTTGAGTATGGTTGCAAAATAGAGGAAAAAGTGAAATAAAGGAAAATGTACAGGGGACCAACAATGAAGGGAAGGAAACCAAAACTCAAATCAATTGTTTGAAGCATAAGGAAGAAAGAAACATTCAACCAGAACAGAATGAAAAAACAAGAATTCAAAAAAATGAGGAGAAGCTGAGGAAACTCTGGGCTAACTTTAAACACTCCAACATTTGAATCATGGGGTGGCAAACAGAGAAGAGGAAGGGCAAGAAATTGAAAACTTATTTGAAAACATAATGAAGAAGAACTTCCCCAATCTGGCAAAGGAAATAGACTTCCAGGAAGTCCAGGAAGCTCAGAGAGTCCAAAAAAAGTTGGACACAAGGAAGCACACACCAAGGCACATCATAATCACATTACCCAAGATAAGGAGAGAATCTTAAAAGCAGCAAGAGAAAAGGGGGCCCCTTACCTACAAAGGAGTTCCCATAAGACTATCAGCTGATTTCTCAAAAGAAACCTTGCAGGGAAGAAGGGGCTGGAAAGAAGTATTTGAAGTCATGAAAGGCAAGGACCTACATCCAAGATTAGTCTATCTAGCAAAGCTATCACTTAGAATGGAAGGGCCGATAAAAAGTACTTCCCAGGTAAGGTCAAGTTAAAGGAGTTCAACATCACCAAGTCCTTATTGTATGAAATGTTAAAGGGACTTATCTAAGAAAAACACGATAAAAAAATACGAATAGTAGAGTGACAACAAACTCAACACTGTCAACAACCAAACCTAAAAACAACTAACTAAGCTAACAACTAGAACATGAACAGATACACAGAAAGAGAGATCACAGGGAGAGTTATCAGTGGAGAGAGGGCAGGGGGAGAATAGGGGAAAAGGTACCGAGAATAAGAAACATAAATGGGAGGTACAAAATAGACAGGGGAAGGTTAATATGGTATGGGAAATGGAGAAGCCAAAGATCTTATATGTATAACCCATTAACATAAACTAAGGTAGGGAAATGATGGTGGGAGGGGGGATACGGGGCGGAGGGGAATGAAAGGGAGAAAAAATGAGACAACTGTAACAGCATAATCAATATGTTATTGAATATGGAAATATATTAAAAAATAAAAAGATACTTATACAACAATGCAAATATATATCTAGCATAAATTGCCATATAGCAATTTAAACAATCCAGCACCTGTAGTGTGGTAGTGTCTCTCTTGGCAAACAAAAAATAGATTTTTACCGGGGCATTTACTATACTGTTTAGTAGTGAAGATCCCTTCTATGAAGGGCATTGAGCTTGACTTACTTTATTAAATAGACTTAAAATAGCCAAACTGTCTGAGGCATGAAGATCAGGCAGACAGATTTAATCCCTTTGTTGCAAAGAAATAAAATGGAAGAAATTGTGTTTTCCTTCTGTTCTGGGCAAATGTGAATATGCTGTGAATACTCAGACAGGCGGAATAATGGGAATAATGTTCAGTTGTGGTTTAGAAATTATCTGCTGGGAACTGGAAGAGAAAATAGAAAGCAAATGAAAACCTGT